CTGCCCACGGCACCCACCGCCCTGGCTGTCACCCAGCCGCAGACGCCAGAACAGGGAGGCGGGAGGCTGAGCCCTCGGCCCAGTCTGTCCCGCTCTCAACTGCCTGGCCCGGGGAGCGCCAGGCGGGCCTCCTTCCTGATTTCCCAGACGAAGGCTCCGCCCACCCCGACGAGTCAGTTTAAAATCCCCACGTTTCCTCCCGGTAAGTAAAAGACAAATTCTAATGGGGTTTTAAAATAGTGAACAAGTAATATTTAAAGTTTATAAAATTGTATTTAAAGTTTGAAAGCCTTGGCGGTGACGGCCTCTTCGTGGTCCTCTCCCTCCGAGCGCTGGAGCGTGGCTCAGGCTCTGGATGAGCAGCTGTGGGTGCGCGTCCTCCGTCCCTCCCCCACAGCACGTGTTCCTCTGCTGCCCTGGAGGCGTCTCTTGCTGTTTCAGCAATTATTACAAATTTTCTTTTTAGTATATTTTTATGGATTTCAGAGAGGAAGGGAGAGGGAGATAGAAACACCAATGATGAGCCCTAGCCAGTTTGCTCAGTGGATAGAGCATCAGCCTGCAGACCAAAGGGTCCCGGGTTCGATTCCGGTCAGGGGCATGTACCTTGGTTGCAGGCTCCTCCCTGGAGGCAACCAATCGATGTGTTTCTCTCACATTGATGTTTCTCTCTGTCTTTCTCTCTTCCACTCTTCCTAAAAATCAATGGAAAAATATCCTCAGGTGAGGATTAACAAATAAATAAAAAAATAAAACTTATTTTTAAAAAAAGGAACATCAATGATGAGAGAGAATCATGGATCGGCTGCCTCCTGCACGCCCCACACTGAGGATGGAGCCCACAACCCGGGCCTGTGCCCTGACCGGGAATCGAACCGTGACCTCCTGGTTCACAGGTTGATGCTCACTGAGCCACGCTGGCGGGCACGATGGGAGGGGACACTGCAGGGCAGTGCCTCGCCCGCCCTTCCCCTTGGGGCTGGGGCTTGGCCCTGCGGCCTCGGACGCCCCTGAGAGTGGGAGCCAGTGTCGTTAGGGGTGACGCGGGGGGCTGCAGCCTGGGGTCTCGTTCGGCCCCCACCCGCCTGTCGTCACCTCGAGATGAGGAGAGAGCACCCGGAAACACTCGTCAGCCACAGGCCTCGTGGCAGCAATGGGACCTCCGAGGATGACTGGGGTGCCCTGGATCAGGGAAATGAGGACGCTGGGGCTCGGGGGGCTCGCCTGGAGCCAGACCTGTTAGTGCTGCTGCGTGGGCGAGCGGCTGCTGAGCTCGA